TGCTAATTCCAGAAGCTCTCATTAAACCCAGGTGGGCAGCGCCCTGGGGAGACAGAGCTTACTCATTTTTTATGTACACAGTTCATGCTGTCTATGGGGCTCAGGTATGAGTCTCCTTACATCTAAGGGCTCTGTAGACTAATCCACATACAGCCATTTTGCTCCCCACCATCCCTCCTGACAACAGAGGCCTTATCCTCTACTACCAGACCCATAATCAAATGTGCAAAAAAGGTTGTTAATTAAAATAATCATGATATTTGAAGTGACTTTTTTAAAAAATTTCTATTTCCCATCTGTGAATCTGAAAATTCATAGCATGCACTGCCTAACCAAAATATGACCAACAAGTCTAACTCAGAAATGCTCAACACAATATATAATAAGCAACCACACAGGTACACAGTGATTTTCTTATAAAATCATCTGTCCCTTCTGAAGATGCTTGATTTCAAAATCTTAATATACTTAAGCACCTCACATTTCAATCACATAAATATAATAATGAAAAGGTGGAATATGATTTGTTTCCAGTATAGCCTGGGGTAGGCACATTGCATCTTCAGCAAGGAATCTAATCTGAAATTAAAGGGTTCCTTTCTCTCCATACCATTTTTATCGTGCTTTTCTTTTTTCTTTTTTTCTTGACTTTATGTCATCATTCTTCAATTTCTTTTTTTTTTTTCCTATATTAAAGTGACTGTTATTTGGCCACCAAACTCTTACATTTCACTATCTTTTCCTTAACTACTTTATTCCGAACCAGAGAACTGTGTATCTATTCAAAGATGATTATTTTTGCAAAAGCCTCAGGGGCCCATTTTAGTTGCTTTTTCTGATTTGTAACAACTTGATCAGACCTGAATATATCATCAGGCAGAAGAGGAGTCATAGAGCCACCAAACACTAGTCTGCAGCAATAGTATATGGAAAGGAAAGGCCAAAAGACAAGAAAAAGCCTGGCATTTGGAGGGGACACGATCATAGTTCAGGGTGGCGGCAGCAGAGATTTCAGGGGGAGAGTGAAGAAAGATGAGGCTGTGGTGAAAAAGGCTCACAGAAAGGCCTTGCATGCGACAACAAGGAAGTTTTCTTTAAATCTGGTGTCACTGAAATTTAATCAAGGGAATGTGCTCAGATTGGTACTTTTAGATAATCCTTTGATGTAATGTGGGAAATGCATTGCCTGGAGAAGGTCTAAACAAGAAAACCAGTTGGATGGTCATTCTGTTAATCTAGGCTTCACAGGAGGGTTACTGAAACTGAAGATGGAGAGAAATGGATGCACCCATAAATTGGATGTAGGAGAGAGAAAAACTCTAAAGACAAATATAGATCCTCTTCCCACAGATTTCTGAAGAACATGGAAAATAGACCCTTGTGCTGTGCAAATTTGAGGTGCTGTGGAAAAGAGTGTCTTAAGGTGGATAATGGTAATCAGTATGTGAACTAAAAAGTAACCACAGAAAAAAGGACTATGAGAGGAGAAACGTGCTTAGAAGGGAATTGTTTTCCATTTTCTGATTGTAGTAGGATTACAGTAACATCCCATCTAACAAGTAAAAGACAGCTCCAAGCCACTAGAGAAAGAGAAAAGTATTAAAAGGCAATACAAGAAAGTCATAAATGAAAAAAAAAAATAGTTCAGGCTTGGGTAATCTATGTATGTGAAATGCCGTATTATCTCATCCACTTCTGAGGAATGAAAAAGTCTACCTCATGAGTATTGACCAGGAAACCCCATGCTGGTCAGTTAAGATTACGTTCCTGGGGGATGTGGGTTAGGTAATAAGTCTATTTACACAAGACTCCAGTTTGAGTCTGTCATTTTCTTAACACTGTCAAGAAGTATTAGTCATTTTTATTATTAGGATGACTGTTGATCATTCATACTTAGCATGAAAGAGACCTATAATCACTCCATACTAATAGAGGGTGAAGGGAGGCTAGGTCCTCATCTTGGGCTTTGATGGTGGTAGACAGGTCTGGATAGCAGGGATTTTTGTATGACACAAAATGCTGGGAAGGAGAAGAGTTTAAGGTATGAGAGAAAGGATTGGGGGATGGTCACAGGATGCTTATGACAAACAAGATCTGTTTGACACTATTGCTTGGGCAACCTATGCTAATAGAAGATACCTATCAAGACCATCAACAAATAAAGATTAGGCAATCAAGAGACAAGGTTTTTTATTTTTGAGAAAGTTTGACATTCAATACAACTCGGGATTTAACAATAGCTGTGTATTAAGAAGACATAAAGTTTTTCTAGGTTGCTTTTCTAAAAGACAGATCAAGTTGTTAAGTGTTGTTTTTTACATTCCTGTCATGTTAAGATGGTAACTATACTTTGTCGGATTTTTTTTAAAAAATTATTTATTTATGCATACAAAAGCTAGGGTGTAGGCCAGAGATGGGAGTAGGGGGTGGGAGGATTCACCAGAGACAGAGTGGGGAGCAGAATAGGCAGATCAACTGAAATACACTGCTGAGGGGAGCAGCAGGCGAGAGAGGAGAGGTCTGCTGTGCCATGTGGGTCAGCACCCTGGCGGGGGATCACCTTGTGCTGCAGTGGCTGCAGACAGCTTCATAGTGCTGAGACTTAATCCCTTGCACCACCAAGGAGGCCCCCCGTGACTGTACTTTTTAAGATGTGAGTTTGATTTAGGTGATAGCCTTCCCATGGATTTTTGTTTTTTGTTTTTAAAGATTTATTTATTTATTTATTTATTTATTTATTTATTTATTTGTTTGTTTGTTTGTTTATTTATTTATTTATACAAGCACTGGGTACAGTCAGAAGCGCAGGAGGGTGAGAGAATTCACTAGAGCCAGAGCGGGGAGCAGAACAGGGAGAAGGACCGAAGTACACTGCTGAGGGGAGCAGCGGGCAGCCGGAGAGGTCTGCGCGCCATGTGGGACCCTCCTTCGGTAGCCAGGGAGCAGCCGGGGATCGAACCGGCGCTGCAGAGGCTGCGGGCAGCTTCGCAACCCAGCGCTCAACTGCTGCGCCACCGGGGAGGCCCCCCATGGATTTTTGGTTACATCTGTTCAAAGCATAGATTTATTTTTTTTTTAAAGATTTATTTATTCATCGATTGATTGATTGATTTATACATACATACATACAAGCACTGGGTACAGTCAGAAGCGCGGGAGGGTGAGAGAATTCACCAAAGCCAGAGCGGGGAGCAGAGCAGGCAGAAGGACCGAAGTACATTGCTGAGGGGAGCAGCGGGCGGCAGGAGGGGTCTGCGCGCCATGTGGGACCCTCCTCCAGTGGCCGGGGAGCAGCTGGGGATCGAACCGGCCCTGCAGAGGCTGCGGGCAGCTTCACAACCCAGCGCTCAACCGCTGTGCCACCAGGGAGGCCCCAAAGCATAGATTTAAAGGCAGGAATGAGACATAGAAGTCACTTAGCTCAGGGATTCTTAACATTTGAGTGCCATGGACTATTTTGGCTGGCTAATAAGGCCTAAAGATTTCTCCTTAGACTCTTGTTTTAAAATGTATACTTTAAAAAAAAAAAAAACCCATATGATTACAAAGAAAACCAATTACACTGAAAAGAGTTACCAAAATGAAAAGAAACAAATTCATGATATGATAGTACTTGTACTTCATTACTGATGCATAAGACCTGACTGCAGGTGTAGTAACTGCTGTTACTCTGAAGTGCTGAGCATAGATACGGTGGCTCATATGCAATAGCTCTAAATGAAACATGAAACTCAGTGATTTCTATTGGTGACAAAATCATAGCCACTGCAAAGCCTAGTGGGCCTTGCTGCCTGCGTTCATAATGAAAGAAATTACTAAATTTCACTTCAACATTAATGAAAATAACGTTGCACCTGTTATCCCCATTCTGATTCTATCCATAGGTACCAGGTTAAGAACCCCGATGTAGTTCAAAATCATCCTGTCACAGATAAGCAAATTGCTAGATTTGGGCCCCTGTTAATTGTCTGACTACAGAACCATCTAGTTGCAGACTGAATTTTAGAGCAATTCCACACTGCTTCCTCTTGGCTAGAATCTCAGGGATCTAGGCTTGGAGGCAACATACAAACGACAGAGTCAAGCTAAATTATTCTGGAGCAAAAGTAAAATTTGGGCTTAGATCATTTGGTTTTCTCTAGAGTCCCTGCTAACAGAAATTATAATCAAGCTTCTTGAGATCCAGTGAGGTATGTCCAAAGATATTTGCAGGTAAAATTTATTTAGCCAAATATTTGGTTAATTAAGACAGCCTCTCCTGTTTACTTACAGAGTTCTTTTTGGGACATGCATGATTTGTTCATGCATGAATAAGATCTTGTGTTCAGTGAGCCAAAATTCTGGAAGCATATTTTGAAGACACTCTGCCTGTGAATGCCCTTAAAAAAAATGGATCAGTGATGGAGAGGACTGCAATTATAGCATTTATTCCTGTTATTATGAAATCAAACAAGGAGGAACGCAATAAAAGTTCTCCAAATGTAAAACAATGTTTTTGGTTACTTGTTAATTATAGCATAACCCAGTTCTTCACATATAATAGTGTTCTATCCAAACAGTTCAGTGCACTTATAAAATTTGGCTTATGTGGAAGAAGCCTGGTTGTATGAAAAGTGTTCCCAAGCACTCCTTCCCTTGCCAATTCCCTCACTTGACCTTAGGCTCTCTGATCCAATCTTCTTGACAGTCTCTCAGTGCACGAATGTGCTTTTAAATGTTTTTTCTTGCAACAACTCTTCTAAATTGTATGGACTATATATTCTTCTTTTCCATATTCTTGACCCATTTCTAGAGAGGGCAATTTATTGTCCATATATTGATCTAGACCTTTTACTTGAGTGCCGCTCATGGTGCCATGCCCACTTCCAGAGTTTACCCAGACAGCTTCCTCTTCTTGTGCCTGCTCCTCAGTCTGATATATTACTCTGCGCCCCAAGGAAGAGAGTTATTGCCTGTTCCCTCCCAACCTGGGATCCCTCATACTGTGGCCAGATACAAACCTTTTCCTGCTCCATCCCAGTCCTCTTAGGGCAGATGACCTAGGAGCTCTTATGTGAGGGAGGTGGTGGAGTTCTTCCTTTGCTGGTCTCTTCCTCAAGATGTCCCTCAGAAAAGCACCTCAGCAAAAGAGATATTTGATTTTTCTAGACTTGCATGAGGAAAGTATACTTGTCTCATTAACACAGTTTGAATGTGCTCTTTGTAAAACTGTAACCTTCACTTTATTTTGCTAAGGAGACTTTGACCAAAATCTGGGCTTGGCTTAGGACATGAGTTACAGTGTCAGCAGTGAGTTGCTTTATCTTAGTCATCTGAGACAGCTTTCTTTCTTTCTTTTTTTTTTTTTAATTTTTTTTAAGGTCATTCTTTTCTTTTCTTTTTTCTTTTCTTTTATTTATTTATACAAGCACTGGGTACAGTTAGAAGCGCGGGAGGGTGAGAGAATTCACCAGAGCCAGAGCAGGGAGCAGAACAGTCAGAAAGATGAAGTACACTGCTGAGGGGAGCAGTGGGCGGGAGGAGAGGTCTGCGCACCATGTGGGACCCTCGCCCTGTGGCCGGGGATTGAACTGGCGTTGCAGAGGCTGCGGGCAGCTTCACAACCCAGCACTCAACCGCTGCGCCACTGGGGAGGCCCTGAGACAGCTTTCTGATCCCCAAATCTCTTGTCTAACCAAAGGGCGGACAGGAAGATTGGTGTGCTCATTCCTCCTGCTTTTATGGGCGGTTTTTTTCTTGTTTCATATACACTCATAATATGTCTTAAGAAGACATAGACAGGTGGAGCTCTGGTGACAGCAGTAATAGGAGAGAGTATTTTGCCATCTGTTTCGTCAGGGTCTTGCAGGAAACAACTTGTATGCACAAAGGATTTAATTAAAGAGGGTTTAATAAAGGGACTTTGGACAGAGATGCAGTCTTAAGAGAAGCCAATAAGGAATAATGAAGATCAGGGATAAGCAAGAGCAGGCAGGTAGTATTATACCCAGGCCTGTAGAAGCTGGGTGGGCGGTGGGGGGAAGATGGTGTTATTAGACCCCATGAGAGCAGCACCTGTGGGAGAGGGGAAGCTTGAAAGTGTAGCTCCATTCTCCACCCTAATTATCCCACTGCAGAAACCATGACCTGGCAAGGGGACACTGTGGTAAATAAGCGTGCCTCCTTTCTTCATGCCCTCTAGCCGGCCTCCTTTCTTCATGCCCTTCCAGCACCATGCATAGACTAAAGCCAATTGGAAGCTAGAGGGCAAGGATCTTACCAGGGCATAGGCAAAGAATGGTGGAGAACGGACAGGTAAACAAAGGAACCTATATGAAATCAACATTCGAATGTTGAAAAATGAGCTACTTACGTCACAAAGCAAACCACAAAGGTCCAACTTTATCTTACTTTACATGACTACACTTTTGTAGGTACCAAAAGAAACACAACATTACCTCATAGGAATTCACAGATAGATGGGGTAGGGTTTGGATTTTCTTTCTCCACCCCTTCAGGTTCTATGTCCTTATTCTGTAACCTATGTCAGAAAAAATAAAAATCTGTGTCAACATGTACAGATTTCTAAAATCATGGGTTTTTAGGGGCTATCTTGTTCAATTTCCATCCCCATCTTACCTCTCCTCCCATCCCTATTGTCCTTCCCCCACACACACACACACACACATACACCCCCCAGGAATTCCTTACATAGCATTACAGACAGATTATCTAGTCTAAGTAAGTGCTTTGGTGAAAAATCATTTACCACTCCTGAGGAAAGCTGCTATTATTGAACAATTCTTTAAGTTGTTAAAACTAAGTCACAGTATTAGTGAAATTTTTGCTTTTAAGTAGCAAGTTTTATCAAAGTTAGGCCCTTTATGGACAATTGGAAGGTGGAAATTCTCTCATTTTATAGCTTGGAACTTCAAGCTGATTCATATCTTCCATCCATTTTACCAACATTCTCCTGAAATGTTTTGTTAAACTGGGTCTGGAACCCAGATTTTTATGTGCTGCTTTTGCTACTGCAGAACTTCACCAACTCAGGAATGGAAGTGTTGGGTGAGGGGATGAAGTTAACAGAGACAAGGACTAGAGACTTTTAGGGAAAGAAATAGGCACACAACCACATTGTGGGTAAAGAATTATTTAACTAAATGTCTCAGAGAAAGAGAAACAGCATAAAATTAAACAGGCATGGTATGCAACACTCGGAAATAGTCTGAAAAAGACAACTGGAAGATTCTGATGGCCATTGTTTATTTCCAGGGATATATCCTCACCTATCTCCACTCAGCTCCATCCTGGGATACTGACCAATATGGACTACTGCCTTTTGACGGAGTTTGGAAGGGGAGGAAAGTAAAGATGGAATAAGTATCACCGCCCATTCCTCCTTCCTGGGGGATCCCTGGGAGCAGGCTACCTGCAGCCCTCCATTCAGGGCTATAGCCCTCATCAGACTGTTCCTTCTCTCTCCTGCCCTCCACTCTCCCCCAGCCTCAGTCATCTTTCCCCTTCAGGCCTGCGCACTGCAAAACCCTTGTAGTTTCCCACACCCTGCCCACAACTTTGTAAATAGAACCATTTGTTATTAAATTGCCCAATTGGAATATACCATCTGTTTCCTGTTTCTTGACACACTCTCTTCCTAGTAGCCTAAGGAAGATTTCTAAGTAACTACTATATGCCAAGAATAAAATGATAGGGGCCTCCCTGGTGGCACAAGGGGTGAGCATCAGCACTATGAAGCAGTCACCAGCTACTGCAGCACAAGTCCGATCCGGGACAGGGAGGTGACCCACATGGTGAGGCAGACCTCTCCTGTCTCGCCCACTGCTCCCCTCAGCAGTGTATTTCGGTCCTTCTGCCTGTTCTGCTCCCCACTCTGTCTCTGGGGAGTGGGAATCCTCTCACACACCCCACCCCTGCATCTCTGGCCTGTACCCCAGCTCTTGTATGCATAAATAAATCTTTTAAAAAATAAAATGATAAACAGTTAATACTTTCAAGGGGTTGTCTGTGACTGTCACAGGAGCAGATCATTACATCATATCTTGGTAAGTGACGCAGTGTCACTGGATGGAGAGGTGGGTGGAGGTGTACTGGCAGATTCGGAGATTTCTTGGTGGAGATGGGGTCAGGCAAATTTAGAGGCAGGGGAGCAGGTAGGGAGTAGTCAGGAGCTGGGAGAGGAGTTTATTAGAGTGCTGTCATTATTAGAGTGGAGGACAAGAGTGGATCAGATGATAGAAAGCCTTGTAGTGCGGGGAGGGATCTTTCTAGCCCATCTGCTTGCTTTGCCTTTCTCTCTCCACCAAGAGAAAAATAATGACACAGGTGAACTTTACAAACTCCTACTCTAAGTCCTTAATCTTGCCCCACTGCACTGCTGACACGCCTGCTTCCCTGACCTAAGACCTGTGTTTTCCACTGAAAATCACTCATACATTTCCAGCACCTGCTAAAGCCTTTCAAAATGACAAGAAGACAATACGGTAAACTAGTCCTTAGAGATGAACTACAGGAGCGGGCTAGAAGTGAATGTCCCCAAATGCATTTTATTTTTTTTAAGATTTATTTATTTATTTATTTATTCATACAAGCACTAGGTACAGTCAGAAGCGCGGGAGGGTGAGAGAATTCACCAGAGTCAGAGCAGGATGCAGAACAGGCAGAAGGACCGAAGTACACTGCTGAGGGGAGCAGCGGGCGGCAGGAGAGGTCTGCGCGCCATGTGGGACCCTCCTCCGGTGGCCGGGGAGCAGCCGGGGATCGAACCGGCACTGCAGAGGCTGCGGGCAGCTTCGCAACCCCGCGCTCAACCGCTGCGCCACCGGGGAAGCCCCCCAAATGCATTTTAGAAGTCCTACCCACCAGAGAATCGTTTTCTTGAACAGCAATGGGTAACACTGACACTTTGCTTGTTTGATGGAGAAGGACGGTAGTAATGTTGGAAAGTGAAGGTTTGATTTTAAAAGATTTGGGTAGGTGGACACTTTTAAGATCATTTTTATCAAGTATCTAGGCGAATCTACAGTCCAAGAGGCTCTCACTTCCCTTAGGTGCAAACTGCCAGTAGTTTCCTTGCTGTTTAAGACCAAGCTCACTATTCTCGACAGGTTCCTCCTCAGCGCACCACTAGCATCAAAGGCAGCCACTCCTCTAGGGCTGAGGCTCGGGGGCTTCATTACTCAAAAACACACACACAGACCCCATCCAGACCACCTCTGTTCTCTTTTCTGTTAACCAAAAATCAGCACCACTGTTTTACTCGGCCTGTCTACAAATAAGGAAGAGCCTGGAAGAGTTAAAAGACTGTGATGAGCATGGAACCTTCGAAGCGCTCCCCGGGCGCCAACAACTGCAAGAGCAGAGAAATCCCGGGGGCGGGGCCGGTGTCTGAGTAGGAGCCACTGCCCACCCCCTGGAGGCCCCAAGTCCTTGGAAGCCAGCAAGGAAGCGCCTCCTCTCGGGCGGAGACACCTCCTAGAAGTCGACGCCCGCGTCCCGCCGCGAGGCCAGTGACCACAGGCGGCGATTTCCACCGCCTCGCGGACTTGTGTGGCTGCCAGGGCGCGGAGTATGGGGCGCTGACGGTCATGGACGGCTACAGGGGCTTTCTGGGGCTGCTGGTCTCCGCGCTGCTTGTCGGCTTCCTCTCCGTCCTCTTCACCCTCATCTGGGTCCTCCACTACCGGGAGGGGCTCGGCTGGGACGGGACCAAGCTCGAATTTAACTGGCACCCGGTGCTCATGGTCACCGGCTTCGTTTTCATCCAGGGCATCGGTACTGGCACTTCCTGGGGGAGCGGTGGGGAGGGAGGCCGAGGCGCTGGTGAAACCGACTGGGGCCGCCGCGAGCTGGCGAGGGGCCGAAGGAGGCGCGCGGGCCGCCCGGGCGCAGCAGCGGAGCGCAGAGCGCGCCCGAGCCAGTCGGCGGGGCGCGGCGGCGGGAGGGCGAAGGGCCGGCTGCCGCGGGCCGCCCCCCGAGCCGGGGTCTGGCGGAGCAGTCGTGGGCCAGCGCGGGCGTGGCGGCTCTGGAGGAGACGCGGTGCAGGGGCGGCTGGCGCTGCTGCGGCCGAGCTGAGCTGGTCGGGACGCGCCGGCGCCACTTGGTTAACTCTTTGCAGAGAATGGCTGGCACGCACTTAGAGGCGCCCTCGCGACGCCAGAAACCCAGAGCCTAGGAAAGATGCTGGTGCGCCTTGTGGCCAGACCCTGACAGTTCTCTGGTTCCCCCAAAATCCCTGTGGACGGAGCCTGCGCAATCAGGGGCGCGGAGACGCACTTTAGGCGAGGCTTTTTTAGCCGAACTTGTTTCAAGGCTGCAGATCAGGAGAGAAAAGCAAGGGGAGAAAATGGAGGAGCGAGAGTTTGCCTTTTCCGGAACCATACTCAGTCCTGAGGGAAGGGCTCATCATCAGTCGAGGGTTTCACCCAACTGGAACGTTAAAATCAGTAGAGCCAGGGAAACTGCTAGGACTCAAAAGGGTGTCTCGCTGCCCTGACTAGTCATTGACTGGGCAGTCTTGAGTTCAACTTGTTTATGTGGCTGCGGAAGGCAAAAGTTCCCCTGAGGACCTTCCCGTTGGAATGTCCATTGGCCCTGGTCCCCAGATCCGGGCCAGAGATGCTGACGGGGGTGTGGGTGGCGGCAAGGCTGCTTGACTAGGAAACATGCTACTTTTTTTTTTTTTTAATGATTTATTTATGCATACAAGAGCTGGCGTACAGGCCAGAGGTGTCGGGGGTGAGAGGATTCACCAGAGACAGAGTGGGGAACAGAACAGGCAGATTGACTGAAATACACTGCTGAGGGGAGCAGCAGGTGAGACAGGAGAGGTCTGCTGTGCCATGTGGATAGCTCCCTGGCTGGGGATCGAACTCGTGCTGCAGTGGCTACAGATAGCTTCATAGGTTGCGTCTTAACCATTTAGGCCACCAGGGAGAGATGCTTCTTATTTTGAATTGTCTGGGTTTTGCTACGAGCCCGTTTGGCTGGAGGCGAAGTAGATATTGGCCTGCATTTTCTGCAATGAGACTAACAGGCAGGGAAGGCTAATTCTTTGGCCAATGGTTTTGTTTTTATTTGGGGGAGGGGTACAATTGACACATAAAAGTGTATTAGTTTGAGATGTGTAACAAAGATTTGCTAACCTGAGGGTAATGTTGATATTACTTGTTTCCCTGACTTACAGAGTCACAAAGTAATACCTAACATTTAGAGTGGTTTCTGTGTGCCCACTAAGTGCATTATTTCACAGGTATGTAAGAGTTAACTGAAACCAGAGCAATTAAGTCACTTAACCAGTTAAGTGATTGAAGTAGTGTGTTTTAGTGGCTCTTATTTTCAAGATTTATTTCTTCAGCTTTTGTGTCAATATTCTTATTTTCTGCAAAACATTCTTTTTGGAGAAGCAAAGAGTTGTATCTAAATTGTATCTAAAAGTTGTATCTCATTGTATCTAAAATACAATTTCAAAGTCTTCACCTTAGAGTTGGTTATAGTTTTCCTCAAAGGAGTTTATTTCTCTAAACTTTGGACTTTTCTTAACCTATTTCTGCTGACATTTGGGCATAAATGTGTAAATAGATATCTTGGAAAGTTTCATCTGTTGCTTTTATGCAAACTTTGTTTTCTTTAAGCTTAGTTACTATATTTGTATTCATTTTAGAATGTCTGTCATGTCAACATTACCCATCACATAATATATTTCATTGACATGAAAGTAAAATTTTCCATACATATAGCCATGCATAGTACTCCTCAGTTCTTACCAATCTTGGCCTCCTACCACCTCCTCACATCCACAGTTGGAAGGTTCCAGTGGAAGGAGTAGGAGTAAATAGTTAATAGGTCATGAGGGAAATGCACATTACCGATTAGCTATGTTATCACACTTTTTTACTATGTGTAATTGCTTTAAGGAAGAATTTTAGGCTATGTATGTTATTTTTGATCTCTAATAATGAACATGATGTAATTGAGTTCTCTATGATATACAATTTTTTTTAAAATTGAAGTACCATTGTTTTATATCCTCATTAGTGTTTTAACAGTAGATTTCCCAGTCAGGTCACCCTAACCCTTCCACAACCAAATCACTCATTGATCTTCACCATAGTCCACTGTATACATAAATACTTAGAGGTGGGGAAGGGAAGGCTCAAGTACAGCTATTACTCTAAACATAAGATGCTTTACAAATGCAGTATAGAACAGCAAACAGTATTTGAAACAGAAAATATATTGAGTCCTTTGAAACACCTTTAAGAAATAAGCTTTGAAGAAAGCATGGCTAACATAAAAGTTACATAATAAATATCTGTGTGTATGTACACACTCCTTCCACACTATAAGTACTCTAGAATAAAGTATAACAGACTATGGGTTATCTAAAACTGAGATAAAATTTTAAACTATGAGGAAATCTAATGAACACGAATGAGGAAGATTTTCAAAGTGAATTTTAGAGAAGGCTTTGTGCTTCTCTAAAAGGAATGTTTCCCATGAAATAGATACACTGCCAGGAAATCAAAGAACCAAACCTTGAAAAGAAGACCACAGAAAAGACTGAAACCAGATTATGCTCTCAAAGTGGCAGTTGACCTTTTAAAAGGTTCAACAAGGTGGAATGTGGACTTTAGTAAATGGTAGGAAATCAAGTATATAAATGTAGAGGAAAGAAGTCTCTGCAATTCTATACTACTTACTTTTCCACATGTAGAAATCTTTCCTGTATAAAATGAAGAAAGAGAAATTGAATAGTGTAATGATCTCAAGTTGGTTTTGTGAGAGACTATATTTAAGTAACATATAAAAGACTAAGAAAAGGAATTTAAAATAGTTTTTGGAAGGCAGATGGGCTATCTAATTAATCTATCTGAAAGTGGCCAAATTCCAAGACCACTTAAATACAAGTAAAGGGGCTCTTGGGTAAGACCTGGTAAACAATATAATGAGAAAGTGCCCCAAATACCTACTCCAAAATCAGCGTTGGGGACACCATTGATAGTAAACCTATTAATTTTAGGGAAAGAAAGATTTCACAAAGCATAAACAAACATTCAAGAGAACCCAAAACACATTTGTTATAATGCATACAGATCTCTTTATAATGTAACAAATAAAAATGTTTTTAGAAGTTATGCAATGCTCACTGTTGTAGCCCCAGCCTCTAAAACAACACCCAAAACTGATGCATGGGAGGCCATTAAGTAGTAGTGAATGAATGAGTGAATATTTCTGTACCATAATTAAATTTTTAGTAACAAAATGCAATTTTACAGTAATGCATTGGCGATAATAATAGAAACATAAAAAGTAAAAGTGTTCACTTTTCCCCTCATGATTCTCCTGTTAAGGCAGTTTGGAAACACTGGTTTAGTCAACTTCAAGGAAGAAAGGGTATCATATTACATTGGAAATGCATTAGTCTAAAGATCTCAAACTCATCAGAATGTTATTACATAAGTACAATCTGTGGATCTACTTCCCTACCTAGAGACATCACTTCACAAATTCTCCCTTTTTCCTTCTGAATCATTGTTTCCTCTCCATTGGGTTATTTCTAACAGGCGCCTGATTTCGTGTCTACAATATATAGTGAGTTGAATAGTGGGTCACCCCTCCCCCACTGCAAAAATATGTCCAAGTCCTAATCTCATGTACTTGTGAATGTGACCTTAATGACTGTGCAGATGTGTGATTAAGTCAAGGATCTCAAGATGAGATCATCCTGCATTGGGGGTGGGCTTTAAATCCAATGAGGGCTGTCCTTTAAGAGAAAGAAGAAGAGTTGAGACATATGGAGGGAAGGCCTTGCAAAGACAGGGGCAGAGATTGGAGTAATGTGTTAACAAGCCAGAAAACATCAAGAATTGCCAATAGTTACCACAAATTAGGAGAGAGGTATGGGATACCTCTCCCTCAGAGCCTTGGGAAGGCACCTATCCCGCCAACTTCTTAGTTTTAGACTTCTGGTCTCTAGAACTGTGAGGCAATACAGTGAGTCACTCAGTTTTGGTAGTTTGTTATGGTAGCTCTGGGAAGCTAATACAGGCATGTAACAGTAACCACTGGGAATCCCAAAGCAAGGCATGCTCATCAGGTTTTAGAAATTTTTCATTGTTCCTCCCAGTCCAGACACAGATCCTATGTGGGATCATTTGTATTGTAAGCAGTGTTGCCTGATAACACTGGTGACAAACCACTTTATCTTTTTATTAGGATGGTAATAGGTGTGTACCTGGATGGAGGGTGGGAACTGTAGGGAATTGGAAAGTGCCTACTCCTGGTGAAAAAGGAAATCTCTGTTTAGCTCTGATGAATTGTGGCTATGATGGGATGCCAGTCTAAGGTAGCCAGAGCATTCATTTTCCAAGAGAATCCGATTTTTTTAAAAACTGACTCCAACTTAAAAGTACACAAGCCACAAAACCAAACCAAAACCCCAAATCATTGTGCTGATCAAATAAAAATACATCTGTGGGCCAAACCTAGTCTAGCCAATTAATTGAATTTTTCCTTTTCATACACTATTTCGTACCTAATAGCCACCTTTGTGAGGATTTCAGTAGCTTCTTTCATTGTGATTCTCCAAAGGTTTTCAGCTTGATTATGTTCATTCTCTGAGACAGTTAAAATTCCAGGCATGTCTCCAAGCTCAGATTCTTATTGATGGCCACTGCAGGCATCGTCTCAAAAAGTTAATTTAAAGAGGGTTCTCTGCTTTTACATTTAAACTTGAGGTCCTTTGGATAGAGTCTGGTAGGCTCTGGGTGCACAGGGAAATGAGGTGCAAATCTAGATAATCCTGCTCTGAACATGCTATCAAGGAAAACAAAACAATATTTTATACAAAGACTTAAGGAAAATGTAGTGGACACACCATGTTTAAGCAGAATTTATAAGTGTTTAAAATTTCCAGTGAACTGCAAACTCAATAACTTTTATTTTATTTGGGGGTTCACTTAAAACTTTATGGTTTAACTTAACTATTGAGTAGAACTAAGTGCTGGATACTTTTTACTTATTAGAAAAGACTACTTAGTCTTACCTGAGCTAACACTTGGATCAATAGTACAAGCAGTCTTGTTTTTGATTGATTCAATTTAAAAAAGGATCTGCTCATTTGCTGGGGAGTATGTAATAAATTACTATGCTTTTTTAAGATGTATTTAGTCAATATTAGATTCTCACTATGTGCCAAGCTCTGTGCTAAATGCTGCGATGTGGTGGTGAAAAAGGTAGACATGCTTCCACCTCACAAATCACAAAGGTTTAAACATAGATGAAGCAGCATCAAATTGTTCTATGGTTGGGGACATTTCTCTTCCTGCAGGAGTGTCCCTCTCCCCACATACATTTTGACAAATTCTAAATTCACATTTCCTGCTCTAAGACAAATTTGTATATAGATAGATAGTTTTGTGATGGTAAGTAGATGGAATGCTGGTGTCAAACCAGAGATTACATCTGAGAGAATATACATTTTCACATATTCATGTGTTCATTATGCAGCTAGGAGCTAAGAAATTTTCTAGTAATTAAATTATTTGTATTTCTTCTTCATTGTCCAAAGAATAATTTTACAAGATATTGACTTACTTATTCCTTCCTTTCCTTCAAAGTTTATCATAATAGCATATTCCACTGCAGATAATTTTTCTTTTAAAAAAGATTCAAAATGTATTTCTCACATATTTTTGTTCATGTTTCCCTTCATTTTTCTGGAGAAAGAGTCTTGCCAACTAGGAACTCTAACAGATAACTCTTGTTTTAATCACAAGGAACTGTTTGATATCATTTCCCCTTCCTATGAGCTTATGGGGTCTTTTTCTTCCTTCTCACTGAGCCTCACGAATGTTGTCTAGGTAACTGCCAAGCCAAAGAACCAAGAAATATTTAAATTCCTTCCTCCTAGCAGTTTTTATAACTGTTGAAAATAACTTCTTGTTTCAGAAATGTGTTCTGATTTGTTAAGTTGCCCTTTCCTCCTGAAGTCCACCATATTTTGGTTTATACATTTTTTTAAAAATATGTATACACCTTATGCAAATAAAACATTTGCAGTTACCCTTCCTTTATTCAGACAATATTTTGAAGCACATTCAACTTTCCAGCAGAGCTTCTATACATCTACGATAGATGCTGAGAACTCCTCACACATATGAGAGCCTCCTAGATTTCTACAAGCTGCTGCCTGTTTAGTAATTGGCTATTGTGTTTGCAAACTTCCAAAAATAGTGTTTTAACTTTAAAACAATCATGAACTCTTTCAACCATACAGAACATAAGAGATCCCCATGTACTCACTGTTTAATCACCAGATTAAACAGATGTTAAATTTTTGCCAACATTAAAATATATAGCTAGATCTTAGAACTGATAGGAATAAAACATGAGGCAGGGTGATGGAGGGAGGTGGGTGGAGATAGCACTTTAACTGGAGCAAAAATCTAAAAGGGATCAAAAAACTCTAAATGAGACACAGGGACTACAAAAATCCCTGGGCCCATTTAGATCAAATCTCCTGTTTGAGAAGCACCTAAGAACTTACTGTTACATAGTAGAACAATATGTTTTATCGATAACCCTAACTCATAACCCTAACTCATCGGTAAGATTATATTGTGTTCTATTCACAGTACTGCTGGAGAAGGAAAGCTAGTGTGCAACCAATTTGAAAAAGATTTGAATAAACAAAAAAGATTTAAAAATCAAGTTTTGACACTCAAAGGGATAGATTTCAGTCGTGTTGAGTTTTTGACTAATTCCTCTCTGAAACCCAAAGTATTGAGAAGAGTAAAAGTTCTTTACTGGGAACAAAGTTGTCTTTGAATTTTTGGCAACATTTTTTAAGGTAAACTTTTTCTTGAAGAACAACATACATGTAGTAAAGTGCCCAAATCCTAAGTGATGTGTTTTCATAACATGAACACACCTGTATACTCAGATTCTGAGACATTCTAGGCACCAGAGTCCCCCTGCTAACTCTTGTAATTCTTCTCAGTCCTAGTAACTGCCCCTGACTTCTGTCAAAGTAGTTTTTATTTGTAACTTGTGATATAATATGATACAATACGATATAATATGATACTTGTGATATAATAGATTGGGAAGAAAAAAGCTATTATAGTTTATTGTTCACAATTTGCTTTTCAAGCAAACATATCCTCAGTGTTTCTTGCATATATAAACATTCAAGTTCACTCTCTAGGATGCCTTCCCCCAGGGTGATCCTTGGATGATGTGACAATGATGATGGATTGTATTGAGGTCAGTTTCCTGGTGCTGATATTGCCTTATAATTATGTAAGATTTTACTGCTGGGGGAAACTATGACGCAACTATAGGGTATCTGTATTAGTTATTAAATCTGCAATTGCATCTCTAACTATCTCAAAATAATAGTTTAAAAATGCTTACAGAGCTACATACTTTGAGGCCAGAGCTGTCCCAGATGCTGGAAATTTAAGGAGGAACAGCAATACTTCTGCTAAAGTAGGACTAGGTAGGACTTGATATAATTGCAAGAATGGCAGCAATGGCATTTAAACCTGCATGGATGGATTTCATCAGGAGCTTGCTGCATTTCCAGGTTCATTTATCTAGTTCATAAAAGTATACCCTTCATGGTGTTGCAATTAAGAAATTAAGAATTAAGAAAAATATTGCTGACATAGTAGAATCTGTCTTACAAGGAAGTATTCTTTAAACTTTTTCAATCTGCCATATATTTCAAGATATCTAAGTTTTTCCTGAAATAGATGGTGAAGTGGAAAGGACAGAATATTATCTTCAGAATAAAAATTAATTGCATGCTGGTGAAGGCAGCCATATCATTATTTACTTAAACTAGGTCAATTAAAAAGAATCCTGCTTTTCAGGAATCTTTTCAAATGTTAATCCACATGCAGGGGGGAAAATATACATTTAAGTATATAGCTACTGAATCTTTTCCCTATGAACACCTATATATACAGACTGAAAAACCGAGTATTAGCAGGAGCCTAGAAATCCTCTCAGTTCCCGTCTGGTAGTTATGCCCCTTTCACACAAGGGTGACCACTATCTGGGCTTTTCTTCTTGTGGAGATGAGTTTTGCCTATTTTTATACTCCATATAAATTAAATTGGAATGTATATACTTGTTTATGTCTGTCAATCCCAAGGAATTGACATTACTGGTTGATCCATATCGTTGGATAAAGTTCTAGTTCTAGATCTTTTATTCTCTTTGCTATATATTATTATCCCATGGTGTGAATATATTACAGTTTATTCTTTCTATGGATGATGAACATTTGGGGTTTTGGCCACTATAAATAGTACAAATATTCTAATACATACCTTTTGGTAAACATCTGTACATATTTCTTTTGGGCATCTCCCCAGAAGTGGAATTGGTAAATCATAAGTTTGACTTAAGTAGGTACTGTTAGTTTTCCAAAGTGTTTGTACTCACTTAAATTCCTATTAGCAGAGCATCCTTTCTAATATGAGATAATTTCCATGTTTAACCATTCAAATATATTAGAGGTATTCTCATTAGGTTTTAATTTGCATGTGTCTGTTAACCAATGAAATTAATATTTTTATTATGTTTATAACCACTTGGATTTATCCTTATCTAGTTAAGTTATTTTGCATATATCATTGTCTTTCTTATCAAACTAAGATACCTATATGAAGAAAACATCATAAAACTAAGAATTTAGTTTTGGACATGTAAATTTGAGATATTTGGGAGGCATCTAAATTAATATGTCAAGAAGGCACTGGATTCTGTGGATCTCGAATTCAGAAGAAAGTGCTTGGCTAGAAATACAAATTTTGGGGTCCCTTCTTGGTGGACAGCATTTCAGTGAAAGAGTGAATGAGATCATCCCTAGAGAATACAGAGGGAAGGAAAGTCTTAGGACAGAACCTGAGTGGTATCAAGGTTCATTCAAAAGTTGGGAGTAAAGAAGATGCCAGCAAGAGAATCCTAGAAGGAAGCCCATGGGCAGGAAAAGGGAAAAGCAGAAGCCTCCCCCCTAAAGAAAAAGGGCGTTTCATGAAAGGGAGTGCTCGCTGTGTCAAACTGTTCATCTTTGTTGATTTAAAAACCAAACATGCACTGTTTCCTTTTGCCTCTCCCTAGCCATCATCGTATACAGACTACCATGGACCTGGAAATGCAGCAAGCTCCTGATGAAATCCATCCATGCAGGGTTAAATGCGATTGCTGCAATTCTTGCAATTATATCTCTGGTGGCTGTTTTTGATTTCCACAATGCCTTAAAAATTCCAAATATGTACAGTCTGCATAGTTGGGTTGGACTGACAGCTGTCATACTCTACATCCTACAGGTCAGTATCATAGTATATTTATAAACAAAATACAAGAAGTAAAACAATTCAGATACTGTAGATGTTTTTATACTCTTAGTTTCTTGGAAATAATCTTTTCATTCTCTTTAGTCATTGTTACATTTGCTTTCATCATATATATTCCATTGTATTTTTTTCCCATTCTGCTAATTCACTATATGGGTTCCTCTAACTGTGTAGTTCACTCACTTTTATATTCATTCTGTTGTATAAACATACCAGAAATTTATCTGTTCTGCTATTAGACATTGGGGCTATTATCAATAGTTTTCCATTTCAACTGCTTCATTGAACAGTCAGAGACATGTCTTGGTATTCGTATACCCAGCTATCCACAGATGGCTTATTCCAATTCTTGTCAACTTGCCTTGTGGAGCTAAGGTCAATCAGAGACACTGGATTCAGAGAAAACTGTTATCATTATCCTAAAGAATGAAGATTGCCTAGATTTTAAGTAATCTCCAGAAATAATCTTTTTATTGGGGAAATCTATCTATAGGGCAAAAATTGAGAGCGTCTGATTTTGTCACCTGAATCCGCCTCCTGGTCATGTGAAACCCCCTTCCTTTCTCCTCTCCCACCCATTCACTCAAGAATAAAAACACTATTTGCTCCATTTACTCTAGGATTTGCAGCCATAAAAATTTTCCATACATGTGTAATTGAATTTGTTCTTTTTTTCCTAAAACAAACCCAGAACCCTCAAATCTTTGTCAGAAAAGATTATACTTTTAAAAGAAAATAAAGATATAATGTTTTATAAAAAGGCAGTGTTCTTTAGACTTCAACATGCATAAGAATCGCCTAGGCTGTACTTCCAGAATTTCTGATTTAGCTGATCTGAGTGGATCTCTTTAAATAAACAATTTAGGTGTTTCTGATGCATGTTTTCTATGACTAACACTTCAGGAACTACTGATTAAAAGGGACAAAAGGATTTTTTAATTTTCTGTTCACTAGTTTTTAAGTTACCATATTCACTTACAAGGTGGTAAGGCTTCTTAGATGGTTAAAAGGAAATAAAGATTATTATAAATTATACATTTTAATAAATTATAGATTATAAATTTGTATAGTTTACAATACTTTCAATCAAATTTAAGCATTCTATAATTTTTGCCCCTTTCCTTTTAAAAGTAATTTTTTGTTGTTGAAAAAGTATTCTAATGGTGAAAGTAAGATTTAGAGGAGTTAAATTGCTCTGGGTTCTTGTTAGCAGATTTCTGTCCCACCTGTTTAGATACGTGAGCCCTATAGTATGGATTAAAGATTATATACATGACAAGTCCTGAATGAAATTCCAGAAAAAGGTAAGACTTTAAGGAATAAAAGGAGGCAAGAGAGCAGGAAGTGGAAAATGTATAGTCCTCTGGGTAAGTCACAGAAAAAATATGGTGACTTATTCACAGAAATATATTTATGCTAAATTCTTGGCAGTCACTTATCATATTTTGATATAGAAAGCACAGCCTGTACACTAGGAAGCTTGCCTTTTGATACTAACAGAGTATTAGGAACATTCTGAACCAACAAAGGGGATAAATATGTTTAATATATTCAGACATTTGTGATATTAAGTGGATAATAAAATATGCAAAGCAGCCTATCAAAATGCACTTTTGATTACTTTCCATTATCCTTGCCTTTAAGCTAAATATGTTTTAAGGCCACAGACTCTTCTGCCTCCATTCCACCTGCATTCCTCATTAGTTCTTTGGTCTCAATCAGGAAGGATGAACAGTTACATTAATGTTTCTCCCATTTGCTTCTCTTGTCATGGTGGTTTTGTTAATGGTAAGAGACTAAATAGCAATATTCTCCTTTAAACTTAGCTACTAAGTCATCTTTATTTTCTTGAAGGGAAAAGAATACTTGCTGGGCAGGGAGTATGAGGCAACAAAACAAACTGTGAACACATTAGGCTTTAGTTACATGGGAATCTTTTCTGCAGGGAAGTGTCCCATAAGGGGCGTAATTATCAAGGAAGTAGAGATAACTTTTCAGCAAAACTCATTCCTTCTTCAGAGAACAAAATTGTCTACTTTCCACATTGTTTTTTAGGTTGACCTGACTAAATGTTCTATTGTATTTGGTGTTAGTGACTTAAAATCTCTCATTTCACTTCCTACTTGGTAACCTTAAGGAAATTAATAAAAACAAACAAGTTAAGGACCAGAATGTTCACTATGTCCTTGTTAATAATAGAAAAAAAAAACTGGAAGCAAAAATATTCACAGAGAACTGAATAAGTAATGTTACATCCTTTAAAATAGAATATTAGCCATTAAAAAGAATAAACTAGATAGACATGAAAAGCTCTCTGAGGTATACTATTATGGGGGAAAAGAAAGATGCAAAGCAAATATGCGAAGTAAGTTTCCATTTATGCTTTCAAAAATTTCCTCTCCTTACACACACGCGCGTGCACACACACACACACACACACACACACACCCTATGCTTATATGAGTACAGTGATTGTCTAGGTTACTTGAGAAAGTGATAATAGGTGTTAGCTTTGAGTCGTGGAACCAGGGTGGGCAAATTTACTTTTTGCTTTATGCCCTTGGTTCGAGATAAAAGGATTTTTCATTTGTACATATTGCTTTAATATTAATAATTTTAAAATTAGTTGAAACTTATAATGAAATAACCTCTGCACTTTTTGATGTCTAGCTTCTCCTAGGTGTTTTCATCTTTCTGCTTCCTTGGGCTCCACTCTCTCTCCGAGCATTTCTCATGCCAATCCACGTTTATTCTGGGCTTCTCATCTTTGGAACGGTGATTGCCACAGCACTTATGGGAGTGACCGAGAAGCTGATTTTTTCCCTGTAAGCTACATGGTTTCCCTGATTTGTAATATTTAAGCTATAAAATGTTAAATACTGACTTAGTGGAAAGATGTAATACAAATTAGAATTTTTTTACATTTTAAAAATAAAAAAATTTTAAATGTTTATTTAAAGATTTAAGTATATTACATAAGGAATATAATATTACTGAAAGACCACAAAGTCCAATAAATTGTACCATACTTACAAAACAAATACTAGTTATGCATTCCTCTTCAATCTTTTTAATGTGAATGTTTTTATATTAGTAGTGATTCCAGTGTACATACATTTTTATATCATCCTTTTAAAAAATTTAAGTGGTACATATGTTCCAGATACTATGTTTTTTTTAGTACCATGGTTTTAAACAATCTCTTGTTATTTCATTGAGTGAATTATAGCACAACTTAAATTCTGCTGAATATTAAGCTTTAAGGGGATTTTCACTGAAGCTGTACCAGTGTGCATTCTGAAGGCATAAATTCAAGACTTTTTGGCATGTTGCTGTATCCGCCTATTTCTAATGGTACACTCTCTCTCGTAGGCAAAAACCTGCATACAGTTCATTTCCACCAGAAGGTATTTTCACAAATACCCTCGGCCTTCTGATTCTGGTGTTTGGAGCCCTCATTTTTTGGATCGTCACCAGACCCCAATGGAAACGTCCTAAAGAACCAAACACTGTCCTTCTTCAGCCAAACGGAGACACTGCAGAGGGAGTGGACGGTTCCATGGCAATAAACGTCAGCAACATGGACAAATCAGATTCAGAGTTAAACAGTGAAGCTGCAGCAAGGAAAAGAAACTTTGCCCTTGACGAAGCTGGCCAGAGATCCACCATGTAAAATGGAGAAGTGCAGTCGTATGACTCACTTTTAAAAACTAGCTCTACCATATAACTTCTGTTTAGTCATATGGTGATTGCGCTCCATAGAGTCAATAGGTCATTAAGTATTAAAATACTTATTTTAATTATAAAGTAGGATTTCTTAAAAGGGTTTTTATTGATTGAGGCCTATGAATTTATCTGAATTGGAAAGGAGATAATCAATGTAAATAATAGCTGATATAAGTGTGGTTCTGTTACTTTTTCCCTGTTGAGGACCAAAGCGTTTAGCACAGTGCCTTGCCTAGAACAGATAATGAAAATGTGTCTTTTGGTTTGTAAATTTGATAAACTGGCCACATATCTGGCTTTTTGTCATATAGTTATTTCCTCTAATTCTGGGAGTCCAATGCTTTCAGAACTAGGTAGAACCAGTCCTAGAATTTTAGAAACAGATCACAAATATCAGAGACAGGGTTTATGCTATGTAGATACCATGACTAGGATAAAGAGAAGAAAAAAGAGGAAAGATAATTAGTTCCCTTCTTCCTGTGCCTGCCCTCAGCTCCCGGCTGGTTTGGGCTCAGATTGGCCCTGGGTTTATATTTGTAGGGTATTTTGGAGCAGTAACTGGGCCAAAAGTAGTTGAAGAGATCTTATCTGCTCAGACCTGGAAGTTTTTCTAAAACTTGATTTAGTCCCAAGCTTTTGGTGTTCTTTATGATCCAGATTCCAAAACTAATTGGAGTGAGAATATGCTTGAATGCTTAAGCAGCCTAAATTGCTCTAGCAACCTCAAAGAGCACTTTTCCCAAGTTTCTGTTTTTATTTTTAAAAGTACTTACATGGCACTTAGTGTATGTCAGACACTATTCTAAGCACCTTGTAAATATGTGCTCATTCGGTCCCCCAACAAACCTTATGAGGTAGATACTGTTGTAATCTCCAATTTGCAGATGAGCAATCTAAAGCTTGGGGAGATTGGTAACTTGCCCCAAGGTCCAAGATTCATAATTGGTAGAACTGAAATTCAAATCCAGCTGTCTGATTCCTCAGTCCATCATCCCAACCAGTCTACTACCTCGTTTGTTTGTTTTTTCTGTTTTATAGTAATTCACATCTAATTTTATCCATCCCTGGAAAAAATCTCAATTTTTGGAGTGTAGTGGAGTTGTTAAAGTTTACCTCCTGGCACTCTTTTCCAAGGCAGATTCCTCAAAGGTAACCAGAGTAAAGGGCCCATCCATACCTGGAAATAGGCCATGGGCATCCTGTCACTGCCAATAAGCCACAGCCTACATTGATACCCCTTTGATCTTAAAATTATATCTTGATGACAGAAAAAGTTTTGGACAAGAACGTCTATCATGTCAGAAGTAATCGGTTACAATTTTTGTTCTTTAGGATCTTAGCTACTTAACAGCTTTGGGTTTGGAGATATGAAAACCTTACCTTCCTAGGGAAAATAGCTAGGGTTTTTCCTAATTTGGGTGGAATTTTAAGGGATATCTTGCATTTTGGGATTCTCGGTAATGAATTGAGACCAAATGGTGACAGACTTTGGGCCTGGAAACCTGTCTAGGCTCTGAACCGACTGAAATGAAAGCCTAAAGCAGTATCCGTGCTGAAATGACTCTTATTTAACTCTATTTCCAAAACTGAGTGTCAGAAGGATCTCTGGTGCCCAACCCAAAGCCTGACACATAGTAGGCACAATTAAATGTAGTAGGGGTAGAGTATGCTACATTTTTGGTACTAACTGGAAGGAATAAATGTTTGTCACACAGAAACATGTTTCGGCAGGTGGATATTTCATTACATTAAGGTGCACAAAATTCCAGAAGTTTTTTTTTTTTAAGAGGAGGGGTCAGTGATAGCCCCAAGAACTGAAGCTACCATTCATTCCATTTTGTGTAGGCCAACAAAAGGGTAATTAGTGAAAAGTTAATTATGAATTCAATGCTAGCATATTCTGCTCCATTGAGAAGTATTTGAGCACCCCTTATTTAGCCCTTTATTTTCTCTCTCTTGTGGGCTAAGGTGAGGGTAATCTTACAGATATTATAGGAACTTCTTTCATTCTCAACCTTTATGAAAACAATGCATAGTAAAATATATTTAGAAAATCTTTCTGTTTGAGACTCTTCTTTTAATGGGCTTTTTAGTCTAGTGATAATTGTACCTTTATGTTTCAAAAGCTGATCTTCCCTACCTCAAGTATCTCCCCCCAAAATATCTCATTAAAAAGCCCACAAAAAGAATAGGGGAAACAAAGCCTTAGGTATCAAATCCAAAACAGTGATTGAAATCTCCCCAAATAATTATAGCCTATATCATCTGCAGAGATCAGCTGGCTTGGCTTACCCCATAATCTAATTTCAGAAAGAAGAAAGAAAAAAAAGCTTTATTTTAACACTCATCTAAATCAACACTAAAAAGCCTTTTCTCTAAAAGGGTTTATTGAGAAACACAAATGAATATACTTTTGAATTAATGTTATCAAAAGTGTATAGCTTCCTGTGCTCCTTGTGTCAAACTAAAACCTCCCTCCAAAGTACTTCCTTTCCTGTGTGGTTTTATTTAATCCTGCTGGTTGGAAATAGCATCTCAGACCTTACAATCAAATGACAAAGAAGGCAACTGAACTTTTAAGGAATACTGACAGTGGGTTCTGTTTTTTTAAAAAGTAGGCTGTCTTATTTTTAATTAGGCTCTTTTTCCTGCTGAGTTGTAAATTCTGGTGCAATACTGGTGGACCACAACTGCCAAATCTAAAAACTGGAAGTAAAGCATCATGCTAATATTACTGTAATATGATCGAATTTTAATTTTGGTATGTCCTTTTTAAAGATAATTTCAATAGGAAACTATAACCTGTATGTCTTAGAACTAAAGAAAGTGTACAAGAAAGAAAACTATTATTTTTTATCCCCCTATAAGGTACATGAAAACTTTAAGTGGAGAAGTTTTCTATGTTTAAATTTGTTTTTTTATCTCAGCACATTTATGAGAAAATATTAGTCTGAATATTTTATAATTTTTGTAGGAAAATATTCTTCTATTTTTTTCTTAACTTGTTTTACATAGTAATAAAAGTTATTTTGGAAGCTATTTGTGCATGTCATCAATTTATCCAGACTAGAGGTATAGAAATTGTTCTGAAAGTCTCTTTCCCATGGTGTATTGTTTTTTTTCAATGAATTTTTTTTTGTTTCCTTACTGAAAATGCTGTAGATCTCCTTATAAAGAGTACTCACTGAGTACCATACATTTTAGATTGCTATAAGGAACACAGATCTGTTTCAAAACTGTCATGGAGTTCTCCTCCAGACCAGATCTGAAGGAGAGCTAGACTCTGTCAGGCAGAAGGGAGACATGGGTGTGGGAACCAGTTTAAGTTGGAAAGCATTGAAGAAGAACCCATTTTAAATTCTGGTTATTACAAAACTGTGTTAATAGTAAATTGCTCTTGAGAAAGTACATAATTCATAACGGATGATTTTTTTTTTCCAAATAAGAAAAAAGGATCATTAACATCTTAACTTAACTGTCTGTTTAGCTCCTTTTCATCTACTCTTTTCTCCCGGGAAATGTTAATGGCATTTTATGTTGTGTAGCTAAAATAACACCATAATACTATATATTTGGTTATGTAATGGAGCTGTAATACTGTATGTGAACTGAATTTTATAAGTTACATCATATTTTGTCACTGATTTGTATTATTAATTTCAGGAATACTGTTTTTCTCTTTTTTAAGCTCTATTTATGCATACAAGAGATGGGGTGCAGGCCACAGGTGGGGGTGGTGGTGAGAGGATTCACCAGTGACAGAGTGCGGAGCAGAACAGGCAGATCTACTGAAATACAATGCTGAGGGGAGCAGCAGGTGAGACAGGAGAGGTCTGATATGCCATATGTGTCACTTCCCTGGCCGGGGAGCTGCATTAGCTGCGGATAGCTTCATAGTACTGAGACTTAACCCTTTGCGCCACCAGGGAGGTCCCTGTTTTTCATTTTAGATTGACTTTAATTCACAAGCACTTTTGACACTATAAATATATGTATTTCAGGGTCATCAGAGATCTGAGTAGTTTATGTGCAGATTTTAGGGCTCTCCCTACAGGCCCCCTTAGTTTCCAGCTGCTGTGATCACATTGGATTTTGTTCTATGGTGCTCCAAGCCAATAAAATAGAGTTTTCAACTGATTTTTAGCCTTCTTATTTGATAGAGACCAGGGTTCTCTCTTAGCAAAAAAGCTAAAAATGGAAACATCCAGTGATTTTCCCTTCCAAATATACAACAGGCTCTGTTCCAACTTCTGCCTGCTATTCACTATTTTCCAGTGTATTCAAGTAGTTTTTTAAAATATTTTTTCCCAATTTTTTAATTGTTATCTGTGGAAATGTTTTTCCTATAAAATTATTCTATTACCAAAAGCCTGAAATTTACACCACTTTTAATTGCTAATGTGTAATCTGAATCTCCAAGATAAAGAATATAATATAGAGTGTTTTACTAACTTTTTATGACCAGAGTTTTTGGTTTTGTTTTTCTGACTTTTTTTTTAATAGAACCATGCAAAATGACTGCTTTGCTCTGGGAAAAGCTAGTTAGAGGACAGTTTTGCTCAAGGTGCCCTTACAACTTCTCACCAAATGCAGGCCTAGCTTATTATCCACTAGATTTAATACTCACTTAATTAAATGCTATAGAAAACATACTTGCATCAAATACCTCACAATTAAAGGTAAGAGAGTTTGGCCTTCATTATAAGGGAAGAATGATGAGGGAATAGTAAATGATTTAAAATGTCTGAAAGTCTAAGCTTCTGTACCTGGACAAGAAAAACATTATGAGATTGTGTTCTGGCAGCTTGACACCTTGAGAAATACAATCCAAAAAAATACACAGATAGGGTCTCCCTGGTGGCGCAAGGGGTTAAGCAATGCACTATGAAGCAATCCACAGCCTCTGAGTTCTATCCCTAGCCGGCCAGGGAGCAACCACATGACGCAGCAGACCTCTCCTGACTTGCCCGCTGCTCCCCTCAGCAGTGTACTTCAGTCCATCTGCCTGTTCTATTTCCCACTCTGTCTCTGATGAATCCCTCACCCCCTGTACCTCTGGCCTGTACCCCAGCTCTTGTATGCATAAATAAATAAATATTTTAAAAAAAAGCATTAGATAAGTTAGCAAAGGAAAAACAATAAATTTTAAAACATACATATGGAGAATTTACATAGTTGTAAAGAATAAAGGAGCAGACCAGGAATATCTATCCTGAGTTTTAGGATCTGGGGCATCAAGGATAGAGAGGGGGGGAACTTCATATGACAGAAAAGAAGGAGGTGACTTCATTGTTACTCTGTTAATAAAGGCAAGATTCTTAGAACATGTTTATTGATGATCTTAGAACTGAGTAAGACCCCCAAACTACATTATTCTAGGTCATAAAAGGGAGAACAGTGATTGCTTCTTTGGTTAGGAAAAGGGCAGAAGCTTAGACATATTGATCTCATCTTCCATTAGTAGGGGACTAAGGACTTGCGCTGGACCAGAAGCTTCTCCTAGCCTTTTGCTCTCAACCCAAAAGAATCTGCATTCTTTCAGTAATAAGAAAGGAAGCTTATATGTTACATCTTAACCCCTTTATTTTGGGGAGGCCCCCAAAATGAATGCTTTCTTAACATCCCAAAAGAGGAACCAAAGCACTTGCCAAGAGTCCAACTTGATCAGAGAACAGTCAGCCTGGGGAACCACTTGCTTTGTGGCACTGTTGATCCCCAGCTCCCCAGAGGCAAGAACTGCCACAAGTTATCCAAAGGTATGCAAATTACTGGAAGCTGAGAAGTGTAGAAGCTTGTGAACTGGATGAAACAGGAAGATCTGGATTCTTGTAAGACTCCATCAAAGTCCTGAAGTGTAACCTTGGACAAGTGATTTGATCTCTCCATTCTCAACCAAAACAGACCTTTTCTTATTCACTCACCGATGATTTACTGAGGCTTTCAGTGCATCGGCACTATTCATAGGCACTGTCCTGGGTTCATGCTAACCTAAACTGATAAGCTGTCCATGTCATTTTAGAGGTTTGCACCTGATTTAATTTATACCACCATTCCCATACTTCAGCACAGAATTAACAGAATTCTCAAGTCTTAAGAGTGGAGAAGACCTTTTTGTATTCTAGGTATTGAGGGCTTCAGCATTAAGGGAAGGCTAGTGATCTTTGTAAGGGTGAAATAGAGACAATTTTAGGATAAAGCATAAACTGAGCCAAGAGTTAGAAATGGACCAGAATGGAATCTACTTGATTGAGAACAGCTGAAGAAGGAGGCAAGGGAGAAATGGTGACCAATAAGCAGTGGGGAAAATTACAGATCAGAGGGGTAAATTTCCAAGTAGATAGTCTAAACACCTTATTTTCCTCAACGTACAATTCAATATTTCTTTTCAAGCAACCACAATCTGAACTGAGCAATGTTTGTGTTTGCTATTACTGCAAGAGAGGGAGAGATAAACGAATATCTTTGCACGCCAAGATATAACACTGCAAACAATGGTTGAGGTCATAGGCTTTGACAAATATGAGGAACATGAGCCAAAATCAATACAGAATGGTGCTTCGTCCCAGAAAATATGCACAGATTGAAAATGACCATAAAGACACAATCATGTCAGGAAAACTTATTTTTATACTTCTCAGAAGAAAGTTAGATGCAGTGCAAGGCACAGTATTTTATTTTGATTTTGGTGTTTCATAACTTGATTGTTTTCCCTTGCTCACAACCTTTTTTTTTTTTTACATTTAATTATTTTTTCTCATTGTACAAAAATGCTTACCAAGAAAATTCAAATGACTAGCCTTAATAAACAACTGGAAAGCAGACTAGCTGGGGCAAGACCATCTAAGGACGTGCACTCATTCAAATGCACATACCATGATAAATGCCATCTAAGAAAATAAATACGAAATATTCAATAAGGAAAGCTGCCCACTAATCAGAACTATAACTATGAGACAAATAAAAGTTAGTGAGCACAATCCTTTGTGAGACTCCAAAGAGCCCAATGTCACACTAGTTGAAAGGGTATCCCTGTTACCTTAGCCAAATAAAGAGCAGAAAAGTAAAAGCTCATTCATGTCAAACTAAAGAATGGTTGAGGGAACTATAGGCACTTAGCTGTTCTGAAGTCAGAACTAAAGATGTTTTCTGGCCATTAAGTTTCAGTCATTAAACAAAGACTAACAGCAAAATAAATTCATGTTTCATTATGCCAACAAACAAGTTTCTTGATTCATAATCCATATGCCTGATGAGTTCTCTCCCTTGTGCTAGGAAGTTGGAAACACTCAATTGAGATCATATTGATGTATACTCTTTGGGATCCAGAAATATGTCAAGTGAGAATTTTTGCAGACTTTATATTTGAATGGACAAGTGCTCAGTATCTAGCCTACCATTATTGGAGTACTTTGTGTGTAAAGGCATACTACAAAACTTCTGCCTTCATTCTCCTTCCCATACCTACATGTCTGCTCTCCTAAGTAAAATGGTGTAGTGTCACAATGCTTTACAGATTGTACATTACATACTGAGTAATTAAATATGTAAAATACAATTACTTTAAGGTCCCAAACCTTATCATTTGCTAATTGTAAGACCTTCCTCGAGTCAGTCTCTCTGAAATCACAGGCTCTACATCTGTAAAACAGAGCTAAGAATACCTTTTCATTGCTTGTTTGAAAACAAGTCCTCAAATCCTTTGAACACTCCTCCCATCAAAACATGGAGTAATATTCTTCTTCCCTTAAATACAGGCCAGATTTAGAGAGTCACTTACAATGTAAGGAATGTGGCAGAAATAACCCTATGACTTCTGAGACTAGGTACCCCGGATTTCTCTTGGAATACTTGTTCTTGGAAACCAGTCATTGAACCATTTGGTGAAAAAGTCAAGTGGCCACACGGGAAGGTGACATCTAGTTATTCTGACCATAGTTCTAGGCAAGCTCTAGCTGAGTGCTGGTCCTGCTGGAGTGTTTTCAAGTTATTCTAATCACCAATTTTTAAACCACCCCAGCCAATACTGCCAAGCAGAGAGAAACTGTCTCCTTCAAGTT